ATGCCATTCAAGATGAAAGTATCTGAGGCCACATAGTTGTTAGGAAACAAACATGACCGCCTCTGGAGGACTCTATCTTTACAACAAATTCATATTCCTGGGAGGGAAGAAAATCAAGAAATATAATACATATGTAAGATATATATGTATATATATATATACATATATATATGAAGACTATTTAAGAGAGAAAGATTGATATACAATTCACATATGTAGCTATACACATATGCATGTATCTAATACACACGTTTTATATATATGTATATATATAATATGTCATACATGTATGGCGTACCCCTACACATATATACACATATACATAATGGTCCATGGGCAGTATGGATAGATATAATCTGTGATCTGAGCCACTTTTGCAGAGGGTAAGATGAAGGCTATGCCAGAACCATCATAAGTCCAGCTTGGTGGTGCTGGGGAGGGGGCATTGACAAACAGTATCCAGGATTGTCAAAGCTGGGAGCTCTCTCCTGTCACCAAGAGGGATATCAGACCAGGCTAGACTCATACTTATTTCATAATTATCTCCAGTCTAAGTATATGAATCTGGGATCAGAACAAAAGTTGCTGCCCTGATTTCTCTTTAAATGACAGATAGCCCTTAACTTATACTCACCAGCTTATCCCCTTGCCACCAAATGCTGGCTGCTTAAAAGACCATCTTGAATAGCTTACTCAATGGCCCCCTTGCATCTATGATAAAACATACACTCCTCAGTTTGTCTTTCCCAGCCTGGGCCCAAACAATATTTCCATCCTTATTATCCATTAGCCCCTTTTCCACACTCTCTGGGGAAGCCAAACTGGATGAAATGGCCAAATATCTATTCCTCACATGTAGCACTCCATCTCCCACCTCCTGGCCTTTACCTTAGCACTTTCTCATGCCTAGAATGGGACTTCCCCACTTCTGTGTCATAGAATCTATCATTTCCCCCAAGATAGTACACAAGGATTCTCTTCTTCACTCAGCTTCTCAACTGCTAGTGTCCTCCTTTTTCAGATAACTTTTATTCAAGCACCTTATTTATTTTGTATGTATTCTGTATATGCTGTCTTCCTCAATAATTGTAATCTCCTTGAGAGCAGATTTTGTTTCTCTTTTTGAAATTGTGTCCCCAGAACCTAGCCCTATACCTGAAACATGGTAGACATTGCATGCTTGTTCACTTAATTAGTTGAACAGATGGAAGAATTAATTGAAATGAATAATTTTGAATGCATTCCACCTTCTAGGAATGCAGACATATATCTTCTATTATTGTCCTCTGGATCCAAATTAAACAAGTCAAATCCTTTTTTCCTCACACTTTGCTTTTGTTCGGTCATTTCAGTTGGGTCCTACTCTTTGTAACTCCATTTGGGGTTTTCTTGGCAGAGATACTGGAGTGGTTTGCCATTTCCTTCTCCAGCTCATTCTGCAGAAGAGGAAACTGAGGCAAACAGGGTGAAATGACTTGCTCAGGGTCACATAGTTAATAAGTGTTTGAGGCCTGATTTGAACTCAGGCCCTCCTGACTCCAGGCCCAGTGCACAATCCACTGCCTAGCCGCCCCCTTTTCCACATGATAACACTTAAAATAGTTGAAGATAGCTATCACATCCCCCTTCTCCACCAAGTCTTCCCTTTTCCTAGTTACACAGCCTAAGTTCTTTAAAAGCTCCCTTTTATGGCATGACTTTGGTTCCACTCCCATCCTGATCACTGTGCTCTGAAAGGATTGTACCTAGTCAAGGATCTTCTTAAGATGTGGTGTCCTGAATTGATGCATCAGGAAGCTTCAGTAGGAGTATAAAAACCCAACACAGTGAGTAATAGACTGAAAACTTTGGGTGAGTTAATGACTAGCCTGGTCCTTAACCTGTTTTCCCTTGGCCTCTAACTTTCTCCTCTGAAGGGCTTGATCATTGAGGTCTGGGAAGGAGATTGTGCCTACTATAAGGTGGGGTTTCATCAACAATGAAATTAAGGAAGAGGGTTTTGAGGGAAAAAGAAGATGGAGGAATATTCTGTTTCTATCTTCCACAATAAAATGTTAACTGAAGGAAGCCAGGGAAATAGTTAAAAATTTAAGTAAAATTTAAGAAGGATGGAGAGCAAGGAGGAAGATATAGTAGAAGCAATATCCTAAGCTCCACTCCCATGCAAGTAAGATTAGTTTTTCCTTAAAAGGTATTAGGACCATCCTTGATACTAGAGTGGCTCAGGAGATGGCTGAAGCTTGTCAACATTACTTCTTGGTCAACTGAATACAAAATAAGTTCCAGGAACCCTCTCTGACACTTGGCTAATGGATCACAATGGGAAACTCAGGCAAGGGAGCTTTGCTCAAATTACTCATCCAAGTGTGTTCTCATTGCCGATCATTGTTAAATATCTTTCATCTGCCTTGGCTGAGGAAATGATCTCTCTGTTGACTGTTGAATGACCTATGAGAATCTAATTTGGTTCCATTATCAAACCTGAGACAGGGCCAGCCTAGAAGCAGGGACAACTTTACCGATCGCAGTTAGGAAGAGCCATATCTTCCACTCTCAGACCCTGGCTCAGGGACAGAACTTCCATAAGAAATGCAAACCTAAATTGGAGCATATGTGACCATGATTCTCTATCTCTGGGCCAGGGACTAGGACAATAGATGCCTTAAGCAGACCCACAGATTATGAGAGAAGTTTGTGTGAGCTAAGGATCCTGGGCCACTGTGAGTCAGAGAGGCAATTGCAACACCTTTTTACTGTTATTGAAAACATGTCTGTGACACATATAAGGGTACAATCTTTTTCTTCAATTTTTAAAAAATCACTATTTTTTTTACATTTTTATTAATAGCTTTTGTTTTTGTATTACCTTCATTTCCCAGTATGCCCCTCCCTCACCAGCAGTTGATCCCTAATAACAAAGAATTTTTTAAGAAAGAAAAAAAATCAGTAAATCTAAGCAATACATCAACCAAGTCTGACACAATCTGCAGTGTTACACACCCAAAGTTCCCTAAATCTGCAAAGAAGGTAGAGAGGTGCAGGGAATAGTCTTAATTTGTATAACTGCAGCTACAGAGCACACACAGCTTTTCTCAGGGAATCACCTGCACAGAACCAAATTTCTATTATTAGGATCAAAGAGCTACATATAACAGAAAGAGGGAAAGGTGCCCGGAAATGCTAATCATCTTGAGTTTATTCATTACTCTCCACAGCTCTTACTCAGGACTTTTTCCAGGGTATGACTCACCAAGTTCAGATAGCTTTTCAGTAATAGAGCCAGAATTTAACACAAGACTTTGGACTCCAAATTTAATGATTTTCCCACAAAACCTAGAGGCTAATTCATTATTCATTTGTTATTCCTCTCAGTGACCAGTCTGAGGCTCATTAGTTAAAAAAAAATTGCTACATGGTGATGACTGATTATGATTAAGAACTCAGGATAGAATGTGGAGTTCCAACAGTTTCACCTTCATTGCTACATCCTTTTTCATTTGTCTTTTCTCCAAGAAATTTCTTGGCAGTGTCTACCCGAAAGTTGGTTAAAGAGACAACAAGCTAGGTGATAAGTAAATTCATATTGTTTTTTTCCCTTAAGTTAGTGACATGACATGGAGCCAGAGCTTTAACCCTAATTGACTAAAGCAATTTTAGGAGGACATTTAAACCCTGACTCAGGATGTCTGTGTTACTCAAAAAAAATAGAGCCTCCATATGTTTTTTTTTTAACATATAGCATGGGAAAGGAAGTTTCTTAGTTGAATAGGTTGTAAATACAATAAAATAGGAGAATGTCAAAGTGTTAGCTGAAATTATAGATCCAGTATGTCTGTGTTTCCCCTATATAACATATGTCCATAGGATACCAAGATAAGAAGAGTCCCAGTATTCAAGAGAGTGTCTGGTCCTAGGTATCCTGTCCTTAGTGATCACAAACAGGAAGAATGCTGGTCAGTTCTATCTGGTCCTGTGGTTGCTGACACAGGAAGGGGTATTTTTAGTGCACTCAGAGAGAAAAGATTAATTCAGCTTTTTGGCCCTTATTGGTGCTCAACTGATCTTAAATGATTATCAGCAGACATTACAGAGGGTCTGACATTAGGAAGATTTGAGATAGGGAAAAGAAAACAATGCACCTAGCTATGAAGGGCATAGAGGAGGAAAGGGTGTCTCATTTTCAGGACAGATATTTCTGAAAATGGAACCATTCTCAAGGACCACTAAGAGTAAGCTGCTTCCAGGGAAGCTGCATTTATGCCCTATATGGCGAGTGCTTCTGACAATTGCCCCAAAGAACAAAGACCAGTGAAGACCCACCCACCCAATCCCTAAGTTTCAAAATAATTTGGGTGTCACCAAATTGAGTTCCCAGATAAAATAATTATCCCATTAATTTGCTTGTGTGTTACGGATAAAATAGATGAGTCAATGAAGAGTTAGGTTTTCTAGGCAAAGAGCCTCCAGAAGAGAGAAGCTGAGATGAAGTCAGGCCTTTTCCACAGAATGAGAAGACATGTTCCCAGTGGGAGGAGACTCAGTGTGTTTGACTTTTTTTTCCTAAAAAGAACAGAAGCAGCAGAGGTCGGAGCCCTTACACAGATTTCTTTTTTGACTGACATCATAGGAAGGATCTTGTCACACTTTAGGACAATGTCTTACACAGTTGATGACCTCATATCTTTCTGAAAGAGATGATGTAGGATAGTGGAAAGGACATTGGAGTCACAAAGACTTGGGTTCAAGTCTCAACAGTACCATTAATGAGAAGATATCCTTGGCCACACTGTCAACATTCTTAATCCTTAAATAAGTATCTTAAGCATTTTGATTCTTATCGGTAAAATTGGTATGATAATTCCTGTTCTGATTTCTTTATGGGCTTGTTGTGAAGATCATATGACATGACAGATATGAAACTTTTTCTTTTATTCTAAAGTGCTGTCTATATGTATATAAGGGTTTATTGTCCCTTTGTTTGGCATTTGAAATGGAGCTATTCATATGCTTTGAGAAGAAGCATCTTTTTTTCTGTAGGAAGAATCGAATGACACAGTTCCGAATCTGCTTAGTCTTTACCCCATAGACAATGGGGTTCATCGTAGGAGGCAGGAGCAGATAAAGATTGGCCATAATGATGTGAATGTGAGGAGGTATGGTGTGGCCTCCAAAGCGGTGGGTGAAGAAGGTGAAGAAAGCCAGGACATAAGTGATGACAATGGCACAGAGGTGAGCTGTGCATGTCCCAAAGGCCTTCTGCCTAGCATCTGCAGATTTCAGACTAATCACTGCCTTGAGTATCATGGTGTAGGAGACAGTGATACAGAGAATATCAAAGACCCCAATGAGCAGGGCAGCCATCAAACCATAGACAGCATTGACCTTTACATTGCCACAGGACTCTTTGGCCACAGACATGTGGTCACAGTAGGTGTGGGGGATAAGTTCCCTCGGCAGTAGGAAAGCCTTTTGGTGAGCAAAGTAAAAGGAATGACCAGCATCACACCCCGCAGGAAGGTAAGAAGCCCAGCCTTGGCGATGATGTGGTTGGTGAGAATGGTACCATAGTGTAGGGGGAAGCAGATGGCCACATAGAGGTCCAGGGCCATGAGCATGAACATCCCAGACTCCATCCCTGTGAAGGTGTGTACAAAGAACATTTGAACCAGGCAAGCATGGAAGTTAATCTCCCTGAAGTTGAACCAAAAGATGAACAGTGTGTTGGGCAGTGTGCTTGTACACATAAGCACATCTGTGAAGGACAGCAGAGACAGGAAGATGTACATGGGCCAATGCAGAGCATCCTCAGAGTAGATGAGGTACATGAGGCCAAAGTTCCCTGTGAGGGCGATGATATACATGGTACAGAATGGGAGAGAGATCCACATATGCACTGCTTCCATCCCTGGGATGCCATTGAGGATGAATGAGCCTGGGGTCAAGCTGCTGATATTTGGAACTGACATGCTTGTACCTGGAAGGTCATGACACGGCCCAAAACAGGATGGTCTCTACAAACAGAAAGAAAATGGGAAACTAAAGACTTCCTGACAACCACGTAAATACTTCTCTATGACAATCATTTATTTTATTTTTTTGTGCATAGCCATTTATTTCTTCATGTAGGCTAATATGACCCACTATCCCATCTGCCTTAAATGTTCTCCTTCCTCTCCTCTACTTAGAATTTTTGCCCATCTTCAGATCTCAGTTTAACTGCCACATCTCTCTCTTTTTTTTTTTTGCTTCAAAGGACTTTATTATTTTTAATTTTTTATTAATTTATTTTGATTTATCAACAATCATTTCCATAAGCTTTTGAGTTTAAAATTTTTCTCCCCCTCCCTCCCCAAGATGGCACACATTCTGACATAGGCTGTACATATACATTCCTGTTAAACATATTTTCACATTAGTCATCTTGTAAGGAAGAATTAGAACCAATAGGAGGAACCACCAGAAAGAGGAAACAAAACAAAATAGAAGAAAAAATAGCAAATAGCATGCTTCAATCTGCATTCAGACTCTATAGTTCTTTCTTCAGATGTGGATAGCATTTTCCATCATGAGACCTTTGGAGACGTCTTACATCCTTGCATTGCTGAGAAGGGCTAAGTCTATCAAAGTTAGTCATTGTATAATAATCACCACATCTTTCAAGAGGACTTTTGCAGTTTCCCCAATTGTTAGTCATCCCCTCATTTGTTTTGTATATATCCCATATTTATTTAGCTTCATCCTTTGAAAATTGCCTGCATAAAACCAAAGCTCCTTGAGATCAAAGGTGTCTCACTTTTGTACTTATATTCCCAGTTTCTATCAGTCAGTCAATCAATATTTATTGTGTCTATTATATTCCAGTTGATCTGAGTTTTTGCTCTAGTTTTGACCCTAATATGCTGCGTAATCCTATGTATGAAACATCATTTATGTACCTAAGCTTCCTCATCTATAAAATTAGGATACTGAACTATATGGTCTTCTAGATCCTTTCCAATTATAATATTCAATGAGCATGTCTTTTATTATAGAAGAGCTTGTTATCTGACTGGAATAGCAAGTAGATAGTAAATATTTAACACATCATTAATGATTTTTTATTTAATGCCTTAATTCATCATCTCTAGGCAAGAGGACTAGATGACATCTCACTATACTGTCCTATTTTAACCATAAACAGTTAATCAACAAACCTCGCCTAATGCTCACTCTATGACATCTTATATATCTTCTTTGAGTAGCTGTCTCTTCAAGTTCTTTTATTTTCTCTTGTTTTCTTGAACAGCCATCACTATTGAATTTGACATGATAAAAATAGCCAAATCACAGAATCACAATAGCTCAGAGTTGGATATGATGCTAGAGAGCTTAAAGTCCAATACATAACTTAGTAGAAATGCCCTCTACAACACTGAGAAGTGGTCACCAATCCTCTGATTAAAAAGCACTGGTGATTGGGAACTGGACACTTCTTGTTATATCCTATTCCAACTTCGGGGATCTTTAGTCATTGAGATTCTTCTCCTATGGAATCAAAATGTATTTCTGCAATTTCCACCTTTGTTCCCAAGCTCTTGCCTTTTGGATCCATGTAATGATATGACAAAAAAGAGAACCGAGCTGTACATGAAGAGAAATAATAATCATGTGAGATGAATTAGGTGCTAGGATACTGAAGGAATTGATGGATATGACTGCCGAATCACTGCCAGGGATCAGGGAGAGAGCACGGAGGATAGGAAAGATGCTATAGGATTGGAAAAGAGCAAATGTCCCAGAGTTCTTTAGAAAGGGAAGAAAAGAACTATATAATTTTTAGAACAGTGAATTTTATTTCCATTCCCAGAAATATTCTGGAATGCATTAAGTGGGTGCTTAATGGACATATCAGGAAATAAGTTGATAACAAGGAGCCAGAAATCAGTTAATCAGCAAGGCATGCCAAACTAACCTCATTCTTTTTTTTTTTTGGCCAGGGTTACTACACTAACTCTTTGCTGCAGGATGTTGACTGTGACTTGAGTGAAGAAACTGAGGAAATTTCTCATGCTATCCTTGTGGACAAGATGGAGAGATGTGAGCCAGATGACAGCTGAATTGGATGAATTTAGGTTGATTAATCATAAATGACTTGTTACTAATTCGATGGAAGGTCTCCCATGGAGTTCCCAGAGCTTGGGTATGCATGATGTGTATATATGACACATTTATGATTATAAAAGTTCTCTATGAGATAGACTGATGAGTTAAATCTTAAGTATTACATACTTTTATTGATGCTTTTCTATGGAATAGCAGTTTTTACCATCATGTACTCAATCTTTTTAAAGGATGACATTATCAGTATCCACATGTAATTTCAATATCATTTCTCTTTGCTATCAATAGAAATAGAGACCATACTGTGGATTTTTAAAAATCATATTTGTGCATGGTTAAAGTGATTTAGCTTTTTATGGCAAATTATTACCCATGTAGGAGACCGCTAGGCAAGAAGACCACTTTTTCATCAACTGAGGGGGATTGCCTTGTTTGAAAGGCAGATATGCAATGAATAGTATTTGTGTTGCCCAGGATGCTGGTAATTATAATGCAGATAACTGATCTAGTATTGACAATTGCAATCCAAAATCTGACACTAGCTGTAAGACCTTGAAAAGGTAACAACTTCTGGGGCCTCTTTTCCTATTTGCATAATAAACAGGCCAGCATATTCCGCCTTTCTACCAGATTCTACTATGGAGATGACTCTTCTTAAACCCAATCACCCTACATGCCACATCCTGTTCTGGAAACAAAAACCAGAGTCATCTTTTCCTAGTCCAATACTGGTCACAACTTCAAGGAATCATGCAATCAGATATTTTTCAAATGAATTTAACAGCTTTATTATAAGGACCTACAATGTGAGGACACAGGCAATGTACTAAACATCAGATGAGAAGAAAATTAATCAGCCTCATTCAATGACTCATCCTCACAATCAAATAGGAGTGTGGAACACATGAGAAAAGAGCTACAATAGAAAATACTACATGAATCAGTCAGTAAACATTTATTAAGCCTTTACTATGTGCCAGGCAATGTACTAAGATCTGAAGATGCAAAAAAAGTAAAAGACTGCCCCTATTCTCAACTAGCTCACAGTCTATTGAGTGAGACAACATGCAAAGAACTATATACAAACAAGTTATACACAAGATAAATTAGAGATAATACATAGAGGGGAAGCAACAGAATTAAGAGGAGTAGGGAAAAGCTTCCTATAGATGGTAGGATTTTAGCCGGGATATGAAAGAAACCAGGGGGACCAGGAGACAGATATCAGGAGAGAGAAGTCTAGGTCTGTTGGATAGTGAGCAAAAATGCCCAGGGAAAGGAAACGGAGTGGCTTGTTCAAGAAACAGCAAGGACACCAGTGTCCCCTGAGTCACAGAGTATCAAGGGATGTGAGAGGGGTATAAGGAGTAAGAAGACAAGAAAAGTAAGGGAAGGACAGGTTATGAAGGGCTTTGAGCATCCAATAAAGGATTTTATATTTGATCCTAGAGATGATAGAGACTGGAGTTTATTGAGTAGGGGAGTGCAGTGGTTAGGCCTGTACTTTAGGAAAAATACTTTGGTAGCTAGTGGTGGATGGACTGGAATGGGGAGAGACTTGTGGCAGGCAGACCAACCATAAGGCTTGTGCAATAATGTAGGCATGGAGTGATATAGGCCTGTACCAGAGGGCTGGCCATATCAGAAGAGAGGAGAGTACATATCTGGAGAGATGTTACAAAGGTAAAATTAGCAGACATTGGCAATAGATTGGATATGGTAAATGAGAGTTAGCGAGCAATGGAGGATGCTACATAGGTTGAGAGCTCTGGTGACTGGAAAATGATATATACATGCTAAAAATATACATATGGGAGGATGGTGGTACCTTTAACATTAATAGAAAAGTTAGGAAGAGGGGAAAGTTTGAGGGGAAAAGATAGTTCAGTTTTAGACATTTTGAGTTTAAGATGTCTAAGGTATACCCATTCTGAGATGTCAAATACAGTTGGAGATGACAGGCTGGAGGTCAGCAGAGAGGTTATGGCTAGATGACTACATTTGAGAACCATCAACATAGAGATGATAATTGAATCCATGGGAGCTGGTGAAATCATCACATCAAATAATATAGAGGGAGAAGAGAAAAGGGTCCAGAAAAAAACCTGCATGAAATCTAAGATTAGTAGGCATGATCTGGATGAAGATCCAACAAAGGAAACTAAGGACTGATTATATAGGTAGGAGGAGAACCAAGAGAGAGTAGTTCCAAGAGAGCCTAGAGAAAAGATAGTATCAAGAAGAGGGTGACTGACAGTCAAAGACTGCAGAGAGGCCAGGAAGGATGAGGATTCAGAAAAGGCCATTAGATTTGACAAGGAGGGAGTCATTTTGGTTGAATGATGAGGTAGGAAGCCAGACTGTGGAGGGTTAAAAAGAGAGTGAGAGGAAAGCAGAAGTACCTATTGTAAGTGGTCTTGTCAAGGAATTTAACAATAAAATGGAGAAGAGACATGAGATTGTAGCTAGTGGGAATATATAGACTAAATAAAGGGGTTTTTTGAGGATGGGTGAGACATGGGCATGTTTGTAGACAGTAGGGAAGCAGCCAGTAGACAAGTAAAGATTGAAGATAAGTGGAATTATGGGGATGATAAAGGAGGCAATATGATAAGAGAAAATGGGATGGAATGGGATCACTTGTGCATGTAGAAGAGTTAGCTTTGGCAAGGTGAATGGCCACATCATCATTTGTGACAGGTATGAAGGAGGTAGAAGGCAACTGGGTAATGTGAGATGAGGAGAAAGGGAGAAGAGGGAGCTTTCAGTAAATTGACTCATTTTTCCCCCAGTAGATTTTGAGGCAGGTTCAGATTTGAGGAGGAATAGAAAAGGTTTGGAATTGCTGCTGTGGCGGTTGGATAGT